TACTGAGACGCCGCAGCCAGGATGGATCCCGACATTACTGTTGAGATCCACCCAGCTGGGGGATTGACAGCTGGCTCTGCCTATCTAGAGGCAGAGCCAGCTGTACCTGCTCCCTCCCTTGATCGGACAGGCAAGGGGGGGGGAATCCCTGCAGGGAGCCGTGAGTGACAGTCACGTCTCTCTGCCCGGATAGATCGAGAAGTGAGCGAGTGACGCTATGTGTTCGCTCACCTCCCGATCTATTGAGCCGACCTGTAACAGTCTCTTGGCACAGGTCGGCTAGAACTATGAGGTGAGTGATTTTCACTCACCTCATAGTTCTCCTTTAATGCATTCTCTGCATTAAGATAAAAAAACACCCAGTACCTTTCTAAGTAAAAACACCCAGTACCTTTCTAATATTATTTTTAATCTTGGGGAACCCTTGCTAAAACCAACTGATTGGGGTTCCGTGGCAAAAATGCCCCTTACATTGGTGGCAAGTAGATACTGCCAAGTGGTCCTGGAACTATGCAGGCACCATTAAATTGGAGGTCAATCAGACACAGCTAAAAGGTACCCCTATAAACCTCTGGAGGAACCCTAGAGTTCCACTGAACCCTGGATGAGAACGGCTCATATAGTGTCAGGACCTTTTCCAGATGTAGCCATGCACCTGTAGCCCAAGCCATTAACTGTCCTGTGGGCACAGGCTTTTCAATGTATGCCCCCTCCCAACCAGTTTAATGGGATTATGCATAAGGGTCTGTGTATATAGGTAATTGTTTTTTACTTCCGACATTGCGCTTAAGAATTAAAAATGCATTTTTGAATTGCATCTTATGCAGTGGTATACTCCATGCAAATCATTTATGATGGTGGCAGATATCAAAACAATACACGTGTATACATCATGTATGACTGTTTATTATCTGGTGGGAAACCTTTACTGAGATGATCGCAGAGGCTGCCATCGCTGAGCACCTAACACTTGCAAAGCTGTAAATGACTTGCTATAAAGAGCACTGAGGTGCAGAACTATTTTAGGATCCCCATAGGCCCCCTTTGGTATCAATGGCCTCAGGCAGCCACCCATTCTGCACTTATAATCCGCCATGGATTCCTTAATGCAGGCCAATTATAAACCAGTGAAAGGACTCTGCCTAATAAGCCATCTTCATCCCATTTCTGCTGTTAAAGGAAATATTGAACAGCTGCCATGTGCTAATGCACTATGCTAAAATAAACTATGCAAAAGACACATGGCTTTCCTGCATCGTTTCTCTCTGCCAATCTAGCCGTCACCATCATAGCTACCACAGAAGCTACAGATAAGGGTGTCAGAACCCTCATGTACCCTAGGCAGATTTGATCACCTAGAGCAGGGGTAGCCAAGTCTGTGAGAATCTTGCAAAGCCTCATGGGATTTGTAGTTCCACACACAGCTGGAGGGCCCGGAGTTTGGCTACCCCTGCCCTAGAGGATGGTAAGGTCCATCTAGTTTTTATCTTGTGTATTAAACAGCTTCCTGTGCATGGTAAGACCTAGTGAAGGAGCAGGGGGGGGGGGGGGGGGGGGGGGCCTCACCTGCCACTGACCTCACCG